ATTCTTTGTGACCCGCCCGTCAAGTCTCTGATCCGTTCCGTATAGAAGAACTGACTGACTTGACGTTTGTATTGAAAATCAGACTGAATTTTGTAGTTGATGCTGGCTGAGTGACGAAGATTTCCAGATTGGTTTCAGTTGGTTGATGAATGTGTGTTTCTCGCCTTCCCGATTCTCGCTCGATTTGACATTCTCGTCCGTTCCGATTGCCTGTAGTTGAGACAATGCTCGCTAGATAAGTCAATGGAGTAACCTCTTCCAAATTCCCCCTTTGATGGTGATTGGCACTGTATGTTGCTGCTGTTGTTGTTGTTTTTGGTTTGTTGGTTATTTTCATAACCTTCATCTTGTCTATGTTCACCTGGAGTCCTGTCTTCGCCGGCTGCCTCTTCAACCAGTTTGTCGGCTTTCACTTGTAAGTCTTCGTTTTTGAGTGACATCAAACATAAATCATCCACGCACGAAATCCAGGTCTACTAGGTTCTTCACGTCGGTCCAGGATATCCCTGTCTTCACGTTTCCCACTGTCTGACGCATAATCCAGTTCACCACAATTAGGGTTATCATGCATTGGTGATAGCAAGCACCATTGTCTGACTCCTGTGTTTACTTCAAACGCCTCACTGAGTTTTCTATTGTGGATCACTTGGCATGTGCCGTTGTCGTACAGCTGTTGAATGAGGTTGATGAATATTTGGACACTACACGCCGTAGTACTCGAATGGTTTCCAAATTGCTTCGCGGTCAACGCTGTCGAAGACCTTCTCAAAATCTATAAAGTTGAGGTAGAGGTTTGATTGCCATTCCATGCTTTGTTCTGTGATGATGATGCGTAGAGTTGCAATTTGGTTAGAACATGATTTGCTTTAGAACATTATCTTGCATGCTTATAAAAATGTTCACTTGTAGAACATCTGGTGAATTCGGGTTGTCCAGCTTCTGATGGGGTTCTTTTTTTTAGAATCACGTACTCAATAAGACCTCACAGTACACAAAGTGTTAGGTGTCAACACTGGAATCCCCCTAACCAACCTCACACCTAAACTGGTTATGCAGACACTTGTTGTTCACTATCTTATTTCATCAGGTTCTTAGGCTGTCTGTTTCTGTCTGCTTTCGACATAAAACATTGCACAATATGTGCAACAATTCAAGTAGCCACACTCCCTCCATGTAGCACACAAATCAAGGGAAGAAAGTAGAAGAAATGCACAATAGAGGTAGTAAGCAGAAGTGTGAGACAAAGGAATAGTAATAACGAGGAAAAAAGCAGTTTCCTTGAAAATCCTTAGTCACAAAGAGTAAATGCATCTACATCATTGAGAACGATTCTGATTCATATCCATTCTTCACTTGTTTTTATCGACCACAGGACCCAAACTAGTCAAGAAGCATACACCTTCCTAAGTGGCTTAGACTAACTGTTGTAGATCTCATTGACTGATGCCATGTTTTGGTGTGAGCACCGCTAGCTCTTTTCCAGCCTGATCCTTCATCAGCTAACACTTCCCGTTGATGAAGGCGATGACTAGGCTAACATGCGTAACACATGTCCTAATCATCATAGTCGATGTATTTTCACAGCCCCATCGATTGATTTCCCCTTCCTCCTTATCCAGCACTCAAGGGATGCCTAACCTCAATATTGCTCACCTTATTATACCACTTGATAAGGGGAATAGAACGCAGGCACCTATGATCAAAGACAGCTTATCTTTTCATGTCTTCCACTCTCAATGACCCGGTCTCACTCACAGTGATAAAGGAAGACAGAGAGGACTCCTCAGCAGTACACCCACCCTTTGGTCGATAGCCAGCCCTCTGTATCCGTGCTGAGATTTCAACAGAGATCAACCTGCTGGCGTTGGCTGATGGTATATACCAAGTAAGTTAATCAGTCAACGTGCTCTACCACTTCACGCCCTATTCCTAAACTAAGAGTCAGTGTGGTCCAGTCCTGTAACATCATCTTACATTTGGAGGGAGAAAATCGCATGCCAAACATTCGTAGGTTGCAGCTCAAGTTGTTGAGAATACTCAGCATTTTGTCATCGTCTTCGCCTAGAAGGACTATATCGTCTGCATATTCTAAGTCAACGAGATTATTTCCTGATGGTAGCAAGTCGATCGCTGTGTCTCTGAAGTGAATAAGGGTTAAGTCGATTAGTACGTCTGTGAGGAAGTCGAGTAGAAATAGGGATAATGGGCATCCTTGACGGACACCACTAGTCATCACCATTTCAGATGACAACTCGATGTAAGCCCCCTCCTGGCTACATGAGTTCGAGTAGAGTGAGCGCCTTATTCAGTGTAATGTTCTTAGGCTGCCTTCAACTTAGTGACTTCTATGTTTTTCATTAACAAGTCACTTTGTTTAGACTACTTTTATGTTATCCTTTTCGTATATTTTTCTGGTCAGGATGTCTTATGCTTTTTCAACCATCTTGACTCTCATCTAGTGAAGTTGTCAACTTATCAAATTTCAAACCCTAACCTACATCATATTTCATCGGAAATCACTTCTTAATAACAGGTCCTCCGTCCCTAGCTGAGGTTACTAGGACTATCACTAGTCTGAAACGAGGTAAAACAACAGGACATGATGGAATGACTCCAGAGGTATTTACCTATGGTGGAGACAGTTTACTGTCTATGTTAACTGAAGTACTAGGCAGCGCCTGGGAATCACAAGAAATCCCTTCTGGTTGGTGTCAGTCACTGACTATCCCTATATACAAGAAGGGAGACAAGTCTTCCTGTGATAATCACAGGGAGATAAGCTTGACTAATCTGGTGTCTAAAGTTCTAGGCTCAATAATCATGTGTAGACTAAGTGATGCTATGGAGGAACAAACATGAGAGAACCAGGCATGCTTTAGACCAGGAAGAGGGTCTATTGATCATATCTTCATCCTTTGACAGATTCTGGAACATAGGCAAAATAACCATCGTCCAGTAACTGTTATATCTCTTGATCTAAAAGCTCATTCGATTCTGTCGATCGAGAGGTACTTTGGTTACGTTTGGCTGTGAATCGGTTGCCAAGAAAATACATTGCACTGATCAAGACACTTCAGTGGAACTCATGCAGCCAAGTGAGAGATTATGGTGAGTTGTCATTTGAACTGGTGACAACTAGTGGTGTCCATCGGGAACGCCTACTATTCCGATTTCTATTCAATTTCATCATATATGTACTGATGACATTAAACCTAAGTGACTTCAGCGACATAGGGATTGACTTGCTACCACCACAGAATAATCTCATTGACTCATAGCATGCAGCTGATATAGTCCCCTCTGTTAAGTGAAAGAAGACGCTGACAAAATGCAGAGTTTTCTCAACACCTTGAGCTGCAATGTTCGAATGTTTGGCATGTGATCCGCCCCGTCTATCAAATTTAAGATGATGTTACAGGACTGGACTACACTGACTCACTCCTAGCTTAGTATTAGGGAGCGAAGTGGTCGGTGGAGAGTGTTGACCACTCACTTCACATATTTGGGAAGTCGCATCAGCCAACGCCAGCAGGTTGATCTCTGATGAAGTCGCAGCACGGATACAGAGGGCTAGTTTCGCATATGCTAATCTTTACAAATCAACTCCTGAAAATAATTCTGTAGTTCGCTAGTGACTTGCCACAGTATGTAGTTGCTTGGAGCTACTTCTAGTGAGAAGTCATGACCAGTGAGGTCCATCCAGTCAAGTGTGAGAAAGGATGTCCCACAGATGACACTGGTCGGTGCCAGTCGTGCTAAATGCATCACGAATTGGTAGAAGTTAGAATTCATGCACTGGCCATTGAATTGGGCCGGGTCCCAGTGGCTGAATTGTATACTAACTAGCTTGCCTTGTAACTGGAAGGTATTGTATTCGAATCTTGTTGACGGCGGGCGCGTATTGCCGATTATTCCAAACTATGATGAAACAGCCTTCTGACAGTACTCCCTTGTTGGTTTTCAGTGGTCCCCTAACTGATATCAATCCGTGATCAACTGGTAAAAACAAATCTAATCTCCGTCTACTTTCTCTTCAGGAAGACGATCATAAGGTATTTCTCCTTTAGGAGGTAAAGGAGTGTTGATCTGCTAAGCGCAATTTTTTATCCCTCAATTCCTATAGCACTTGTTCTGTTTAGAATAAAGGTAACTGAAAAGACCAAATTAACTGACCAGAATTAGAGATATATATCTCGGGATCAGAATCCTGGTGCAATGATGATTGCTCAGCTAGCCTGAGATCGTGCACAAACAATTGAATGCAACACGATAGCGTGATAAATAGTGTGGATACTTGACCGTGAACCTACAGTCTAATGAATCGACTTAAACAGTGAAGGTTAGCATCTAATATTGAATGACTGAGGAGTTACTTACCCTAACACTTTTCTATTTTTCTTAAACTAGGTGCATTTTAATCTCTTCTAACCTTTTTGAGTAATGTTCGTTCGTATACAGCTTCATTTGAGTGCTGTTAGATTGTTATTCCTGTACCAACATACTTGATTTGTATATGTGAATGGTAACTAGCAGTAGAATCCTGGAAAATGAACATTTCTTCTTGATTGGGGACTTGTCAGCTACACACATTCCCCAGTGACTCAGTGCTGGTGTTTCCATGGAGACGTGAAAACCTAATGCCCATCATTATCAACTAGACCATTTGAGCAACAGCATCACTCATTTTGGAATGCAGGTACATTCGTCAGCTCACGAGTCCGAAATGGGACGAAATTTCTCATTTTCTTGGATTCCACTGTTAGTCATCATCCATCAACTTGCTGTAAGTCAAATCCTAAGATATTGTTCAAGCATCTCCACAAGGAGAAAACCGACAAGTTAACAGACAGCAAACATTTCAGTCAAATTAATCCCCACAGAAAGTTCAAACTGAATCAAATAATATTTTATTATTTTTCTCGTATAAAATTTTCCTCGATCAAAGGAATCACCATCAAACTGTATTTCTCTGTTTGTTTATTTGTTTTCATTTCTTTCAGTTTAGAAATATAAGTTTACCTGAACCTCCTAAGAATAGTACAAAGATAATTTACAATAATGTCGAAATGAAACTTGTAAGTGATTTCTTGCATTTCAAATGATTCTGAAGAAATCGATAAATAAATCAGTTGCGTTACTTGAAACATGAAAAGGACTGACTAACTGAAATAAGTAGTAGCTGTATACTACTCATGCATCAACTAGTAGAGTGTTGCTTCCTAGCCGGTCAGATTGAGGTGATGTGATCTAAACACCTGACGGAAGTTTCACCCATCCGGTGATGAGCTAATTAGATTGGTACTTGGTTTAAAATCCAAGCTCAGAGAGCCGAATTAATTCGAATCAGCCTGTCATCTTAGCTCTTCATCACTTTGAACTGTGTAGACTACAACTTGTGAATTTGATTTATGAAGTTATGAGTTCGTTCAAATAGCCAGTAAGAATAAAACGGGATGGTTTGAACTCATTCAATCCTATGAAATGAGTCAAAACCGCTGATGAGTCCAGCTCCAATCGAGTGAAATGTTTGTCCAGTGTTTAGATCACCTCGATCTAGCGGGCTGGCAAGCACAATTGGTTGATGAAAAAGTAGTTTACAACCACCCATCTGAACTAATTAGTAGAATATATAGTTTTATGCATGGGACATGGAACATCCGCATCATGTAGGAGACTGGCGAAGCTGGCCAGATTGACTTGACGGAATTCAAGTACTGGGAATGTGCGAAAGCAGGTAGAATGTGAGTGGACTTACCAAATTGTCAACAGGAGAGTTGATGATCTACTCCGGTCACCCAGAAGACAACCACATGCACATTGAGGGTGTGGCTATCATGATGTCACCAATGGGAACGAAGGAACTGATGCAATGGGAGGTGATTTCGCCCAGGATTATGACCTCCAGAGGAAGGAAAGTGTCAGTTATACAATGCTTTGCTCACACAAACAGCGCAGATATCGAAAAGAAAGGAGAATTCTACAGACAACTACAGGCAACAATTGAAATTACCCAAGTTGGTGACATAAAAATGCCAATGAAAGACGTGAACGCCAGACTGAGGTCAGAAAACACAAGTAGAGAACTCATCGTAGGTAGAGAAGATCTTAGAGAAATGAATGAAAATGAAGAACTCTTCGCCGACTTCTTCGCCTTCAATGAACTAGGGATTGGCGGCAGTGCATACAAACACAAAGATATCCATAAGGCTACATGGGTGTCACCAGATGGGCAAACCAAAAACCAAATTGACTTCATCTCAATCTCAAGGAAGTGGAGGAGCAGCCTACTGGACACAAAAGTAAGAAGAGGAGCAGACGTCGGCTCAGACCACTATCTCGTACAAGGGACAATCCAAATGAAATCAAAAGTTTTCAGGGAAACAGGAGCTGCAGATATACCACAAGCCAAGTTCAACACTCAAAAACTGAAGGATCAGGATAGGGAGGATATCTTCACTACAATCATAAGGAAAAAGGCAGAGTCACAAATCAACAACAACGAAGAGACCAAAGTTGAAAAGTACTGGAACAACCTGAAAGCTGTGTGGAGTCAAACCTGCATGAAAGTTCTAAGCGGAGAGAATAGACAGGACAAACAATGGCTCACTATAGACACTTGAAGACCGATAGAAGAGAGGAGGATGGTGAAACAAAAAATTATGCAATGCACCAACGAGCAACAAAAACAGGAGTTGAATGCGAGCTACAATACACTGAGCAAAAGAATAAAGAAAAGTGACAGGGAAGACAAAAGAAAATAGTATGAAGCCATGGGAAGTGAAGAAGAACAAGCTGCAGGCAAAGGAGACCTCGCCACACTCTACCAAACAACTAGGTACCTATCAGAGAAAAGCTCGACACAAATTAAGCCTTTGAAGGATGACAATGGAAAGTCAATCACCAAGGAAGTAGAGTGAAGGAAACACTGGGTTGAACAATTCAAAAGACTTCTAAATCGACGGCTCCCTACAACACGCCCAGTAATATCAACAGCGGGAGCAGAACTACCAGTGGGCATCAATACCTCGACGAGAATAGAAACCTCGAAGGCAATCAAGATGCTAAAAGTTGAAAAAGTAGAAGGATCAGACGGAATCCCAAAAGAGGCATTGAAAATGGATCCAGAGACAACAGCGGACTTGATGACACCACTACTAGAGAAGGCGTGGAAATAGGGCAAGGTACCTGAGAATTGGAAGAAAGGATACTTTTTCAAACTTCCAAAGAACTGGCGCGGAATTATCCTCTTGTCCCTCCCAAGCAAAATACAAAGCCGCATCATCCTGGAAAGAATAAAACACACCATCTTAGATGAAGATCTTCGACCGTAACATGCTGGATTCAGGAGGACAAGTCAAGCATCGATCAAATCACAACACTACGGATCATCTTTGAACACAGCTTTGAATGGTTGTCAGCTGTCTGCCTCACTCAACTTCAATGACTTTGAAAAGGCCTTCGATAGCGTCGATCGAGAGGTGATTCGGCAACTACTTCCTTACTACCAAGGGGTGCCGCTAGCAATTTTACATCTCATTCAACAGTTGTACATCAATGCTGCATGCCATGTAAGCCACAACGGGAAACTCACGGAATCCTTCCAAATGAAGACGGGAGTGAAACAAGGCTGTATGGCTGTCTGCCTACTATCTCCAATGATTTTTCTGATTGCAGGAGGTATACTGGATAATGCGACAGAAAGTGGTGCGCAGCGAAGGAACAGGCACAAATTGGAACCACTTATCAAACTTGGGGGATACTGGATGTGGATTTCACCGATGATATATATGTCTGGTTTCCCAAAAACTGGAAGATATGCAAATGAAAAGCATTAAGTTGACAGAAGATGCATCAAAGGAAGAACTTCACTTCAGGTGAACATAGAGAAAACAAAGGTGATGAATCCCGGCCAACGCCATCAGCTACGACAACCGACATCAGTCAGCCAGCATAAATGGGAGAAATCTGAAAGAAGCAACCTCCTTCACCTACCTATCACCTCAGCTAGGAATCATCGTTTCACCCACAAGAGGATGGAACTGATGAGGAAACAACCAAATTGAGGATTGAGAAAGTAAGGCAAGCTTTCATTACTCTCAAGTTTGTGTGGAGGAGATGAACAGCACATAGCATGAAAATGAAAATAAGATTCGAATTTTCAAGTCCAATATGAAGTGAGTGCTATTTATTATAGTGATCAGAGACTTGGTGCCACGCCGTGTCACGAAGTACACTTTAAACAAACTACAGACCTTCATCAACAGTTGTCTTCGCTCACTTCTTTGCTCAAGATCAGATGGCCGGCCAGAAAAGATCAGCAACAGGGAGGGATCTCTGGCAATGAAGGAACCAGCCGAGCAGGAACCAATTGTGCAACAAATATGCAGGAAGAAATGGAGGTGGATTGGCTGGTCATAGTCTGATAAAACAAACCATCAAGTGAGGGATATCAGATGCCAGGCCATTGCTCGAGTGGAACCCGAACGGGAAGCGGTGAGCTGGTCGTCATTGCGAGGGTAGGGTGACATGGAGGAGGTGGTGTGAATAGGGGATGAAAGCATGTGAGTAAACGCGGAGCCCGGTGTAGATAACGTTGTCAGAAAACCAAATGCAGTGGAAAGGTTTGGCTGAAGCGCTATGTTCCTCTAGAAACTAAAGGAAATAATAATAATAATAATCTGAAAGGCAGATTACAGGTTTGTTTTTCGTCAACTGTGTACGACGTGAATTTACAAACTATTTATGAACGATCAATATTTGACATAATTTAGACATCTTGTAACTATTATTAACCAGTTTATTTTTAAAAGGGTAAAATAACGTATCAAAATAAAGAAATGGAGACGAGTTAAAACTATACAGAAAGTTAAAATAAATAGTTAGATAATTAAAAGATAAAGACATAATGTATTTACCGAGAGGCGAATATTCCGAAAATGAAAAGTGGATTTAGACATAATCGAATACAATTACATAATCTGTTTCCGGAGTTAACTGAATCCAGCCATTAAACAGTTTAGTGATAACAGTGGCATTAATAATGTTTATACAAAAATAAATCAATATCACTATCAAGCTGCATTTTGTATAACTTACATATAGTGATGATATTAGATGGATGGAGTCAATTGGCCACAAGAAGCCCTCTTTAACCTAGGTTTCGTGCTAGTTCTGCCTGACTGTCTGCCTATCCGACTGTTTTCGACATAAAACTTTGCACCAATTTGCAACAGCTCAAGTCGCCACACTCCCTCCATGTAGCACACAAAGTAAGGGAGAAAAGTAGCAGAAATGCATAATAGAGACAGTAAACAGAAGTGTGAGACAAAGGAAAAGTAAAACGGAAATACAATATATTTTAATTGGAAATCATGGGTCACAAGAAGTAGATGCAACTGCGCTAGCCATTGAGAACGATTTAATCCATATCACCAATTGTCCCCAGCATCCATTGGTTTTTACCGTGTCGAGGATCCTAACCATTCAGGAAGTCTACACCTTCCTACGTGACCATCTTAAACTAACTGTTACGGATTTCATTGACTGGTGAAGCCATGTTTTGGTTTGACTGCCACAGGCTCTCTTCCATTCTGGTCCTATGTCAACTAACACTTCCTGTCAGTCGAGAGAGGCGATGACTAGGAATGCATACGTGACACATGTCCTAACCATCTTAGTCGATGTAATTTCACAGCCTCGTCGATTGATTTCCCCTCCCATCTGCCTAGCACTCGACCGAAACCTAACCTCAATATTGCTCATTCTATTATATTACATCACACGGGAGATAGAGCGCAGGCGCCTATGATCAAAGACAGCTTATTTTTTCATGTCTTCCACTCTCAATGGCCATGTCTCACATGCAGAGCTACAGAGGAGGACGGAGCGAACTGATGAGGAGTATACGCGTCCTTTGGTCGATAGCCAGCCGGATATCACGTCTACGCCAAAGACAGTGTCAACTGGCATATGGGAAACTAGTCCTCTGTATCCATTCTCAGCTGATACTTCGTCAGAGATCAACCCGTCGGCACTGGCTGATGGTACTTCCCGAATAAGTGAAGCGGTCAACGTG